TAGAGGGACTTCAGAGGCTAATGGACAGAATAAACGAGTACAGTCTATAGTACGAACTAAACATTAATACCCACAAAACGAAACAAATGATTATCAGCAAGGAGAATATAAATGGGGCTCATATATACATTAATGGGGCGCAGATAGAGCGAGTAAAACAGTATTGTTACCTGGGAACTATTATTAACGAACAGTGGGGCAATTTACAGGAAATAAAGTGCCGCATAGGAAAGGCAAGAACGGTCTTTAACAAAATGAGCGCCATCTTCAAAAGTCACAACATATTCCTTGATACAAAAATGAGACATTTGAAATGCTATGTTTTCTCTGTGTTGTTGTTTGGGGCGGAGGCATGGACGCTTACAGACGTCACTATTAAAAAACTTGAAGAATTTGAGATGTGGCTTTATAGAAGAATGCTGAGAATATCATGGACAGCAAGGATCACGAACAAGGAAGTTCTAGGAAAAATGAAGAAGGGACCAGAGATTGTGTTTACGATCAAACGCATAAAATTGCAATATCTGGGACACGTTATGAGAAATCAGCATTGTTACTCCCTGCTACAGTCTATATTGCAAGGTAAAGTCAAAGGTAAGCGAGGACTTGGTAGAAGGAGAATATCATGGCTGCGGAATTTAGGAACATAGTTTAAGAAAACCTCAACGGAGCTGTTTGAGCCGCAGCGTAAAGGTTATGATTGCCAATATGATTTCCAACATCCGAAACGGATAGGAACCAGAAGAAGAAGAAGAAGAAAGTAATATGTCTGAGATATTCTAATTAGCTTGTTTTAATTGTATTTAAAATTTCCATTTCTTTATTCATCCTTCTCAGAACCTCTTTGTTTGTGACTTGTTTTGTTCACGATATTTTTAGAATTCTTCTATACACCCACAGCTCGAATGATTCCAGTTTTTTCATTGATGTTGAATTCAAGGTCCAATATTCCATTCCATAAAATAAAGTGGAAAAAACATAGCACCTCGCCAACATAACTCTTAGTTCCAGTTTTAAATCCCTGGTACATAGAACTCTTCTCGTTTTGTTAAAATTTGCTCTAGCCTTTTCCATTCTTATTTTGATCTCCTGAATGTAATCATTTGTGGAGTTAAACATTGTTCCCAGATATGCATATTTGTCCACTTGTTGGACGTTGGTTCCGTTTATTAAAAGATTTTCGTTATTTCTTTGAGTTTTTGATATTCTTATAAATTTCGTCTTCGTGACATTCATTGTTAGACCGTACTCTTTTCCATACTCTGTTATTTTGGTCGCCGGTCTCTAAATATCTTTTTCGGTTAAGATCACAGTGTCGTCCGCATATCTAATGTTGTTAATGGGAACTCCATTTACCTTTATTTAAGCTGTTTCACCCTCAAGAGCATTTTTAGGATCTCTTCTGAGTAGGCATTAAAAAGAATTGGCGAAAATACGCATCCCCGTCCCACTCCACATCTAATTTCAATGGCTGGAATAAAGGTATATGGAGTTCCCATTAACAACATTAGAGATGCGGACGACACTGTGATCTTAGCTGAAAACATTGAAGATCTTCACAGACTGGTGACCACAATAGCGTACCTTGAAAACACTAAAACTTTCTTTGTGACTTATCTGGATATTCTTATCCCTAACTTTAACCCTATATGTTTAAAAATAGTTCAAAATTTATTTCTAATTTATCTATGATGACTAGATAGTTCAGTTGATACTCTTTCAAAAGATGAGAAATCTTGATTGAAAAAATAGAACTTTTAAAAATTTTATTTTTTAAAGATCTGAAAGCTCTAACAAAATTTGCTCTGAAAATCTTGTAAGAAAAATCATATTTTTCTAATCTATGTGTTTCCATACATCGATATATTGGAATCTGTCTTTTATAAGTAATAAACTTACAAATAATGCGAGAACCACTTTTTATAAACTTTTTCAAAGTGCTTATTTACACTAATTAATTATCAATTAATTCAAAATTCAACTTGTTTCTGAATAAACAATTTTCCATCAACGTAGATTTGGTTTTTACAAATTATATCTAATTGCCTACAAAACGATTGACATGCTTACTGGCGACGAGTGACTGTTTTCAAAGAGTTACCAAAACCAGATGTAAAAAAGCTTATTTAATAAAAAATATTTTAAAACTCTTAAACTAATATAAGTTTTCGTTTATTTTAGATATTTTATATCATTTTACGTATTGGACTAGGCAATTGGACCATCGTATGCCTTTGCCAATGGTATAACCACAGCCACCTTTACTTCCAAGCCATGAAGTAGAAATTTGGCAACAACGCGTGGTAGTCCGACTTTGGTTTGTTTTGGTTTAACATTTCATATAGGAAGGCTTGTAAAGTTTGTTGAATTTATTGTTTTTTTTATCTTTATTCGAATGTTTTATTTGTAAATTGTGTTTACATCAATTAGAAAATATTAATATAAGTGAAATTTCATTAAATTTAGAACTTTTAGAAGATTGTTAACGACAATTTAAAAGGCAAGTATAAATATAACCTACAAAACAAACTGAAAATAATAATACTTTTGCTTCTTGTTACAAAATATGTAAACTAAAAACAACAATAATAATACTTTTGTTTTTTGTTACAGATGCTCTGGCATTGTTGTGTACCTGGTTGCAAAACCAATTATGCCAGTACTTTAAAAAGGAAACAGGCAGAAAGTACGTTTTTGTTTCCCAAAGATCCCCAAAGAAGGTATACTGGGTTATGCTCTATTCATAGAGAAGGCTGTACAATTACCAAATCTTCCGTAGTATGTGCCAAACATTTTCATGAAGATGATATTCAGCGGACTAAATAATGAGAAGATAAAGATGGAAATGTACACATTGAAAAGTTAATATTTCCCAAATTAAAAGGCAATGCAGTTCCTAATATATTTCCTGAAGTACCATCATATGTAACTGTTCATCGTACTAAAGAAAGAAGGAATCCCGAAGACAGAAGAAACTTTTTGCATAAGAAGAGGGAACAAGAGATAACATAATTATGTCAATTAGACTTAGACAATAATATCCCATTGAAAAACTGGACAAGTAAAATTACAAGTGACTGTGTATATTTCTATGTATTAAACATTAATCAGTTGGGACACAAGTGTGATAATATTTGTGTAATATGTAGTGTAATAGTTAGCAGTAATTTTAGTGTAATCGTCAATGTAGGTAAGAATAGATTAAGTGGTAATGATTTGAAATGGATTTTACAATATAGTAAATTAACAAGATGGTCACAATTAGAGAACTTACTTTCTCATTTAGATCTGCTTTTTAGATAAGTGATAACAAATTTGAGTATTACATTCAAAAATCTTTTGAGAATATAGGCTATTTTAAATCGATATACAAGTTATAAATGGTATGTTACATTCAACACATTTTTCATGTATACCTCTTTTAACTTGGTCTATATGACAACAAATCTATTCATATTTAAAATTGCTACTTTTGTATATCTAAGTATGAAAATTCAACAAAAGTTATAAGTAAATAGTAAAATATTTAATTTTCAATTAGATTAATTTAGAACCATGTTTATATTGTGTCTGATTTCTTAGGATGAATTTTTTAATCATAATAGTTACACTAAGTTTTTACTTAGCACAAATTTTATATCTTTTGTATTTTTAATAATCTTTTTAAATGTCGTGTTAATGTATTGTATTAATCATATATGCTTAAGTACTTAATATTTAAAATTTCTAGAGATTCATGACTGCATTTGATTGTAAGATTAACTGTTTGACACTGTATTTTAAGTGCAATAAATTTTACTCTAGTGATTATTTTATTGATAATATAACCTAAATAATAATAAAACTTTATATATATTTACTAGGTATATATAAGGTTTTATTAATTTAATTTCCCTAAAAATATTTCTGTAATGAATTGAAGTTTTCAAAATATCAGTTTCCTAAAATTCAAATTAGTTTAATATTCTGGTAGACCTTACAGCTGATTATCGGACTACCGACGTCATAGAATGCGGTGTTGCCTTTTTTACTTCATGGCTTGGAAGTAAAGGTGGCTGTGGTATAACCAATCTTTTGTGACACCCTGTATAGCATAGTACTATCTAATTTGCAGTTTTTTAAAGTACAAATAATAAATCAAATAAATTAACTCAAAACTCAAGTAAGTTTAAAAAACATATCAGAATCCGTTATAGTAACAGGTAAATATGCTTCACTTTTGTAAATTCTTATTTCTAAAATAAAACTGTATGAAGGACGTAATTCAAATATATATTAGGTGTTTTGTTTAAATAAACAAGTATTTATTAATAACTGTCTCATCTAAATCATACATATATAAATTATATTAAAGGTGTGTAAATGCGTTACATCCGCGTTTATGTTACATATTTATTAAATTTATGGAATATTTTTCTTTTAATTTTTACATATTTTTTCTATAATAGTAAAATATTTTATTCATACATTCTTTAATATATTTAGAAATATCTGCATTAAGGTCTCTATATTTACATTCAGCATATTAAATCCGTAAATACTGTCACATGTAACTATAAACATCAACTTAAAACGTAAAACGTTATGTTTTATGTTAACAAGTGAGGGGTATAGTTTCAAAGTGTACAATCTCCATATTTCAGAAAAAATGAGTTAGATGTCGCATTACGTTGAGTTTCTAGTCCTGAATCGAAACAATAAAAAAACTCTTTTCATAATAGTCATTTTCCTATAAATTTTGAGGGCAGAAAATTAGACTTTAATTCAAAACGTACCATCTCCAATGACATTTAATTTCCAAACCGTACAATCTCCTATCCAATATTTAAAATCAAAGAGTACAATCTCCAATGGGTTTTTCTTAGTGAAGCATCACAGTTTGTTAATTAAAGTAGTATCATATTTTTTCGAATTCTTAAAATAATAAATCGTGTAATGGAGATAAATGTTACTCCTGTAGCTAGTAATAAAGCACGAAAAAGACAACGTATTACCACATAATGGAAAAGAATTCAGCAAAAAAAATGAGGTAAGTTGCATCAAAGGATTTTGTATATCTTTGTATAAACATGGATTTTATTTTAGGGATAGTCCACATTCGCTCCCAATTTATCTAAAATGTGGACACAAAGGTGGTTCTTTTCAAGGTACGTTACTACAAATGAAGGAAACAATACGTTTCCACTCTAAATTTTATGGGACGAAGGAGAAAACATTTCAAGATAATTTTCTGTTGAAATATTGCAAAACAGTTCCAATACAGCGTAAACGCCCAAAAAATTCGCAACATGTTGCAAAAACATTTCAAACACGATTTTACATTATGACTAACGAAAACAGAATGTTGGCTGTGTGTAAGAAAGCTTTCATGGAAGTTTTGGGTAAAACAAGGAGACGAATTGATACAGTTACAAAAAATTTCTATAGAACTTTCTTTCCTGCAATGGAAAATCGAGGTGGCGATAAAAAGCTGGAAAAGTACATGTTGGAAAAAAGTGGTGTTATGGATTTTATTAACAAATTCCGCGTAATTGAATCTCATTATTGCCGGGGACAAAGCCAACGGTTATATCTGGATTCTTCTTTGAATATAAAGTCGATGTGGAAAATGTACTTAAAAGAAAATAAAAACTTTCCAGTAAAAGAAAGCTATATCAGGAAAATTTTTATTACACAATATATCCTTGGTTTTGGTTCTCCTAGAACCGATGCGTGTTCGACATGCTTACAATTGACTGAGAAAATAAAAGCGTGCCGTGATAACGACATGAAAGCCAACTTAATCATCCAAAAAAGGGTACATACGTTGAGGTCCAAAGCATTTTATACCCTTTTAAAAGAACGGGATGAAGGTGTAGAAACGTTTTCTTTTGACTGTCAGAAAAAAAGTCAATTTTATATGTATAATTTTACAGTTGTCAGAGGAACTTCCAAAAGTAATTTAAATCCATCTAATATCACTTCTTTTTGTTGGACCGAAAACGACTACAAGAAGAGTTCAAACGAGGTTGCCTTCTGCATTTATTACATTCTTGAATTGGCTAATTTTGGAGACGATATTCGTACTATCAGGCTCATGTATGATGGATACGAAGGCCAAAACAAAAACACGACACTCATATATATGCGTTGTTATTGGTTTTCTAGACAAGATAAAATTAGACAAATTGAAGTAATATTCCTAGTGAGGGGTCATTTTTTCATGTCTCCAGACCGGGTTTTTGGGAATATCGAAAAGGATATTAAAAAAAAGAAGATAATTTTAAAACCACATGAATATCTAAAGATGTTTTCAAAGTATAGTACTGTTCATTGGATTGGAGAATTAGTCGAAATATATGACTGGAAAAATGAAAAATCAATAACAAAAAAAACTAAGAACATTGAAAGAATGAAACCTACCAAATTTCCGAAACATAATGCCGTGGTCAATTTGTGGACTGGAAAAGTGATTTCCGTTTAAGTTTTTAGAAATTTCTGATCATCGAAGATAATCGAGAAGACAATGCAGCACCAGAAAATGGAACTGTCTACGATGAAACGTTGTGTGAGAACGTCGAAGAAGATGATGGATTTTCCATTTAATTAACTATTTTTGAATAATTAAATATGTGTTATCTCAATAAAATAAATAAGTTTAATAAATGATATTCGTAATTTATTTTGAATGTGGACAAACTCCATTAGTTATTTTTAAATAGTTTAAAGAAAAAAATTGTGTATTAACTCGTAGTTGTCATATAAATGTAATAGAAAAAAATAGTTTAATTGTTCATATAAAATAGGTTATCCGTTTTTTTTTCGATTACCGAAAATTTAGGAATCATGCAGATTGTACACTTTGAAACTATACCCCTCAAGATATTTTATACATACAATCCTTAGTTATATCTTGATTTTATTCTTATTTTTATTTTCCCCGATCATATGTTGTAAGTACTAAGGATCCAGTTCTTTGCTGTTATACTTTAAACGACAAAGAAAAATCATTTTTTACGAAAACAGATGCTAAGAATTTTTTTTTTCCAAGAAAGAGAGAAAAATCGAAATAGAGATCCTGTCCCAAGACTTTTTTAATTTGGTCTTTTGATTTTGTTTTGACCACGTGACACTGTAAATAGCTTCTAATCTCAAATATCTGTAATATTATGACCTTGCTTCATTAGTTAGATAACTGAACTTAGTTTCTTAAGGTAAACCGCAGCAATTGACGCCATCAATTGAGAATTGCCAAGAATATCAAGTTCACATTTCAGTACTGGAAAGATTACTCACGCTCACAAAGGGATCTTTGACTTATAGTTGATCATTGTTAATAAGTGGTAGTGTTGGCCTCTGGGCTTCTATTTCTTCTTCAGCCTTAAGTAATCCAACTTTGGACCATAGGCCTCCCCCAAATCAATCCAGTGCCTTCTATTTTGCGCTGCTTGCTTCCAGTTGTGTCCTCCGATCTTCTTAATGTCATCAACCCATCTCATTTGTGGTCTTCCTCTGCTTCTCTTTCCTAACCATGGCCTCCATTCTTGTATTTCGTGGTTCCATCTCTTATCCTTCAGTCGGACATTGTGTCCTGCGAAACTTCATTTTAATTTGGCAGCATGTTCTAATCCATTTGTTTGTTTTTTTTTGTCTATAAGTCTCACCCCGAGCATTGATCTTTCGATCGCTCTTTGTGCTTTTACTATTTTATCCATATTGGAGTTGATGAGTGTCCACGTCTGTGAACCATACGTGAGTATAGGGGGGATACACTGATCGTAAATTATGGTTTTCAAATACTGTTCTATTTTAGTACTTTTCAAGATGCAACTCAGTTTTCCAAATCCTGCCCACGCCAACCTTATTCTTCTGGTAATTTCGACAGTTTGTTTTTCTTTGTTAATTTTGATTATCTGTCCAAGGTAGATGTATTTCCTTACTGTTTCTTAATTTATGTCGTTCAACGTTATTTCTTTAATGTTCGGTATATTTGTCATTATTTTTATTTTTTTCAAGTTCATCTTAAGACCTACATTTTTCGAAGCTTCAAATAATTGCGTCATGATGGTCTGTAGTTCTTCGAAACTGTAGCGAATAATACAATGTCATCAGCGTATTTTAAATAACTCAGTTTTCTTCCATTAACAATAACTTCCTTATCTGCCCAGCTAATGTCTTTTAACACGTCTTCTAGTCCAAGTGTGAATAGCTTTGGTGAGATAACATCTCACTGGTGAACTCCTGTATTGATTGGTATAGCTTTGGTTTTCTACTTCTTTTCGAGCTTTTATAGCTGCTGCAATTAAATAGGTAAAACGAAATAAAAAAAGACTTACTCACAATCAATTTAATTTTACTACCAAAACGACCGGTTTCGCTTTTTACACTTTGCAAAGTATCTTCAGTCAAACGGTACAAAGTAAATTAAATGATGAAATTATAAAAAGCCCATACTGGGGTGCTGTCTTATAAAGATAAAAATCGAAATTACAGTAAGTATGCCAATATTACATGTCTGTGTTTATTAATATGAATAAAATTGATTAAGCAGACAAAGTAAAAATCCACAAATTGGTAGAAGATAATCTATTGAATTGTAATAAATTAGTAAATAAATAAAATACTACTTACATGCCGGTACAAGAATTATTAGTTAATGATTCGGATAACACAGTTCAAACTATCCTGTGTTGTTGATGATGGGTAATCTTCGGTTCTTATTGTAACTGTTTGATAAATCCCCTCAAGATCTTTCCCCGCTAATTACCAAACAATTACAATAAAAAAAAACAATAAAAACCGAAGGTCACTCTTATCACACACCTACTAATCTTCTGCTTTTACTCTATAAATTGTATAAACGTTTTCCCATTTTTAGTCGTTTCCATGTGATATTACCTTCCTTTATGTTTCTATATAAATTTAACCTTTACCATTTCGCAATCTTCGACAGTTTGCTTTTGTAGATTATATTTTGACATTTTTTTTTAAATTCGCATCACCTACATACTGAGTGTTAGTAGCGCGAGAACAACATTTTAGGATATAAAGTTTAAACAATTACAATTATGTGTCATTAATTTTCTCATAAACTTTTTGTAAAACGAATCAGTTAAAAATGGAGACCAATACTGTATTCACTATTTCACCGATGACTCACTTTGTATCGCTTTACGTGTGTGATGATCAGCTTTTTCGATGCTTTCCACATCAGTATGAGATAGGATCCAAATCAAACAAACTTGTTGTTTTGGTTCGTAATTAATGTGGAGTTAAATAATCTATTTACTTATTTATATACAGCTTTTTATTGTAGGTAATGAACTAAGATAATCAAAAGAATAAAGGATATGTTTGACTATTTTTATTGTTTCTTTAAAAATCTTTAAAATAGTATGTATGATAAAGAGAAAGATGTGACTTTATCGCTTGAATACTTGAAGAGTAAGCTAACGAAAGATACAATCTTCTAAATTTTAAAGGTGACTCTTCGGTTAAACATTGGTCCTGTAGCTGCTTTTAATGATGTATAATTTCAAATTAAGAAAGTACTGTTTTATTTTTCGAAGAGTAAACTGTTGATTCATACTCAAGTTTTGATAGTATAAGTTATTTGTAAATGTGAATAAGACTTTTAAAATCTGATCCACAATTGTTGTTACACAAAATTCGCATAAAAGTAAGACTAGTTTGGCAAGATTTTTTAATGTGCATAGAGTGCATTTTCCAAGATGCTTTTTTATTAAAAAACATTACTTAGATTTTATTATCTATATAATCTAAACTGTTTTCATATATCCACAGATCTGGATTTGCAGAATGCATATATTTTGAGAATTTACACTTTGTAGTGGTTGTAGACAATTGAAATCTCAGATATTTAAACCAATTCTTTCAGTAATTTAGTGCACACTGCAGGTTTTGCTGTATGGAAAACATATTTTTCCTTTTGAATATACGAACGATTTGAGGTAGATACTCGAGGAGTTCCATTCACTTTGTATTTCGTACTCGATGCGGTACCAATATTTACTCGAAATTTTTGTTTGATTAGAAAATTGTGAAATACAATAGAGCATAATACCCTTTGATGACCCAGTGACTTAAAATATTTAAAATATCGTACAACCAAGTCATATCGAATGCTTTTGTTATCCCAAAACTCTTTCTGATCTAAAGTTATCTAGATTATCCAAGGTTGATCAATATTTGCAAAATCCACTTTACTCACTCATTATTACACAATTTTTTAAAGTTATAAACATCACATGTTTGTTAATTTTCTTTTATTAATCATTTTCCTATTTCAATTTCTTTTATTTTATTTATTTATTAACTTTATATTTTTTAAATATATTTTTGTTCTAAAAATAGTTAGATCAACTCAACCCTATGATTAACTTTTTATTTACTAAATATTCTGTTATTTTCGTTTTCACTAAATACGCTAATTGCTTTATACATACATATTACTTTATTCTATGAGATGATAGAACAAATTCTACGCCACATTTCAGTTTATGAAATATATCTATCAAATGATTTTTTCTATCTATCTCTTTGATTTTTTTCATGTCAGCTTTAAAATAGAAAGCGGATAATTGTTTGTACCATGTGGTCCCATAAGCTTACTAGGAATAGATATATAGCCGAGAGATCGGCTTATTGGACCACCCGGTACATATCCTTTACCTATAAAAAGACACGCTTCTGTTAAAAATTCATTTATATCGTTATATTTGTTTGGTTAAAGTTATATTCAATATTTAACTATCTGTCTTTTCATAATTTGACCTTTTAAAACATGTCTAAAACATCTATAAACATCTTGAAAGAAGTGGGGTTAGATGATAGGGACTTGAGAATCATCTATAATTTATATTACAACCAAGCAGCCAATATTAAAGTGGATGATCAATTGACAGAGGCAGTCTCCATAGATAGAGGAGTGAGGCAAGGATGCATTCTGTCCCCGGTGTTATTTAATGTATTCTCTCAATATATCTTCGAGCAAGTGCTGCGAGAACTACAAGAAGGCGTATTAGTCAACGAAATGCGTCTAAACAACATTAGATAAGCCGATGACGCAGTAGTTTTTGCAGATAGTCTGGACGGTTTGCAAAGAATAATGTCGCATATATTACATATAAGTAGAGAACACGGACTTGATCTTAATACGAAGAAAATAAAGTACATGGTAGTCAGTAAGCGCGAAATATTAAATACACAGCTTTTGGTTAACCAACATCCAATTTACAGAGTGGACAGCTACGCATACCTTGGTACCAACATTAACAGCCAATGGGATCACTTCAGTGAAAGAAAACAACGCATAGGAAAAGCGAGATCAGCGTTCATAATGATGAAGTCTCTTTTCAGAAGTCATGATTTACCACTTGCTACCAAAACCTCTCTCATTAGATGCTATGTATTTTCTACCTTATTATATGGAGTAGAGGCCTGGAAACTTTTCGAAGCTTCCTT